CCAGTTCATGGTGTTTTGCACTGATGGGTATTGACAGGGTTGCAGGGAGCAGGTTTGGGCAGAGCAGAGGCGCAGCTCGCAAGGATGCAGCCCTGGAGGAAGGAAGGAAGAAAAATAAAAGAAGCAAGCAAAAGATTTATGAAAATCTGTACTAAAGTACAGTGAAATTAGCAGCTGGTCTTGTTAGAGTGGCCAGGGGCTCTTTTGCAGAGGAGATCAGCCTGGGGAGATCCAACATGTGAACTACAGAAAGGGAAAAAAAGTAGTGATTGTGCTGGGTTGTTTTTTTTTTTTTTTAATTCTTCCCTGGAGTGGAATTTGGGTATTGTGTTTTGCCACAAAAAGGTTGGAAAGAGAAGATCAAAATGATGAAATGTCCCTGATAAGAGGGCAAGGAAAGCTGGCAGCAGACTGACTTTGACACTGGTTCACAGCCTTGCCCCTGGGCAGCTTCCCAAACCTCTCTGGGCTTCCCAAACCTCTCTGGGCTTCCCTCTCTCCATATATAACAGTCGTGATGGCCATGTACCATGGGTAAGTGTTAGGTGGACTTCACAGATCTGCAGTTATTTGAGATCCTCTTTGGGGAAATTCAGAGTAATTTTATTCTTCATCCCTTAAATGTTAAGAAATATCAGAAATAAGTGTTGTGAAAGGGAGTGAGTTTAATAAGGAATGCCTGCAGCAGCCTTTGTCATTCAGATGCTCGTAATGAAACAGTCAAGAGGAATGAATAGGTGAGACCCACAGCCAAAACTTGTGAAGCTGAGCTCCTCCAGGGTGGAGCTGCTGAGAGATGAGCTTTGTGTGCCTGATGTTCTGCTGAATCCAGCAAACCCCAGGTGGGGATTTCTGGAGGAAAAGATGGACTCCGTTCTGCAGCACCCCGAATTTGCATTTGGAGATGTCTTTGTCCTCCTTTGTGTTTTCTCTCCTCTGTGTTGTTTGACACTGATGTCCTTTCCTCCAAACCCAGCTCCCTTCAGCTGAGAGATGTCAGTGTTCCCCAAATGTCAGGCACAGAGAGGGGGTGGAGAGGCTCTGAGACCATCTCTGCCTTTAGCAGAGTGAATGGAAGCAGCTTTTGAAGGACTCGCCCGTTGCTCTGCTGGCTTGGCATTAAAACTCCGCACCCTTCAGGAGCAGAAACTGCCCCTCCTCTCTCTAAACCACAGGCTTGGAGAGCAAGCTGCTTAATTAACGTGCTGCCCTTGGAGGCAGGCGTTGCCAGGCGTCAGCCCCAGCAGCATCTCTGCCTCACGTTAGGCAGATGTTGCATTTCCTGGGTGCACAGCCAGGCATCACCTCCCCCCTGCCCATCTCCTGTCACACAGACCTTGCTCCTCAACAGCTCCAGCGGGTGCAGCAGTTCTGCTGATCTGAGCCTGGCAGGCAGCATCTGACTCTCAATCAGTCCAAGCTTCGGTCCCTGGCAATTAATTCCTACTGCAGCGGTGAGACAGGAACTTCAGCCTGGGCCTTGCCCACGCTGGGTTGGCCACAGCTGCCCTTGGCTGGGTTTTGGTGGCTTTCTGGGCTGCTTCCCCTTGTCAGACTCCAGATAATCCTGCTCCCTGTGGCTTCTTCTCTCTCTGACACTGGAAGTGGCAGGCACTTCCAATAGGAGATGGAATAATGGTTTTAAACTAAAAGAGAGTAGGTTTAGATATAAGGAAGACATTTTTTACAAGGATGGCGGTGAAACCCTGGCCCTTGTTGCCCAGAGTGGCGGCAGGGGCCCCCCCCCCTGGAACCATCCACTAGGCTCTGAGAAACCTGCTGTGGTTACAGATCTCCTTGCTCTCTGCAGGGAGATTGGACTAGGTGACCTTTAAAGGTCCCTTCCAGCTCAAACCATTCTGATTCTGAGTGCCCTCCAATGGGTCAGCCATGTCCTTTTGCTAAAAAAAAGTACCTGGCAAATGCACAGTTGGGATAGGGCTGAACTGATGGACTGAATTAACCAGTTCTGTCTCAAGGGAGTCTCTCCCACACTGGGTGGGAGAAAGAACTTCAGACTTGTCATTCCCCTGAGGTGTCTGGTGTTGGTCCTCTGGGCTACTGGGCTGGTATAGCTGGGTACAGCTGCCAGTGCATGTGGGTGAAGATGCCCCGAGTGGGACAGAGCATTTTAAAATACACCCCTGCTGCAGCATGTGCCCTGTATAGAATAGAAAAAAAAAAACCAAAACAAAACAAAAAAAACAAACCAAGGAAAGGCTGCTGACAGCTTTAAATATTTCCAGTGTTTCCCTCTGCATCGTTAGCAGCCCGTTTGCAGTCCCGTGGGCCAGCCCCTGGACGTGCCTGTGGATTTATGGTGCTCTTTGTGGTTCACATGCAGCATTAGCAACAGCACGGGCTTTGCCACTGCACTGCTGTGTGGCAGCCAGCCAGCCAGAGTCCACAGAAGGGCAGTGAAGCTGGGGAGGGGTCTGGGAACATGACTTATGAGGGATTGTTCAGTCTGGAGAAGAGGAGGCTGAGGGGAGACCTTATTGTCTCTGCAGCTCCCTGAAAGGAGGTTGGAGTGAGCTGGGGGTTGGTCTCTTCTCCCGAGCAATAGGACAAGAGGAAGTGGGCTCAAGTTGTGTCAGGGGAGGTTTGGACTGGATATTAGGAAGCATTTCTTTCCTGACAGAGTGGTCAGGCACTGGAACAGGGAGGTGGTGGAGTCACCATCCCTGGAGGGGTTCAGACATGTAGATATGCCACTTCAGGACAACTTTTAGTGGTCATGATAATGTTGGGTTGATGGTTGGACTTGGTGATGTTAGAGGCCTTTTCCAACCTTAATGACTCTATGAATGGCTTTGCCTGGTGTTCAGGAAAGGTCTCTGAGGGTCTGGGGAAAATATTTGACTTTGATTTTGGATTTTTGTATTTTGCCTTCCATCCAGGCAGAAGAAGCTGGTATTTTGCCTGTCAGCAAAGGTGTATTTAGCTGGCTGAGCACTTTCCTTTGGGTTAGCATCTTTAGCTGCTGTTGATATCACTCCTTTCTTCCTGTCTTTTCTGATCATTAATTGTGTGTCTGTGTGCATTTTTTTTCTTAAAGTTTTTATGGCATGGAAACATTTTATATTGCTTTTGCCTATAGAGTCAGTGTTGAGGAGCTGGTTGAGGGGTTTTTCTGCATCTTCTAATCTGTGGCTTACGTCAGTCCTGTATCAGGATGCACAAGTGAAATGCAGCTCGAAGGAGGATTTTCTGCACACTGCTGGTTCATAGCAGGCAGGCAAAGGAGAAGCTGCCTCCTGATTCCAGAGCCTCTTTCCATGTTAAAAAAAATTCAACCTTTAGTTACTTAGATGTAAATTGTTCTAAAACATATAATTTTTACCTTCAAAATCCTAGCTGCTGAGAGCCAATACCAAAAAATCTAACAAGCGTGAAACTAAGAGAGGAAAAGAACACTTTTCAATGGGGACTTTTGTATAATTACATCTGAAATAAATGGAAAAGAACCATCCGACTGCTCTGCTAACATCCACAAAAGTTGTATTGGATGGTCCTCAGGGTTTCTCTTTTTTTTTTTTAAGCATTTAAAATAAAGGTGTCCATTAAGCTTGCTGAGGGATAAGTTGGGCCTCGTGGCTGTGGCAGGAGGTGCTGGCAGCAATCAGCTGTAATTGCTTTTCTCATTTGAGGAGTTAAGATTTTTAGGTTCCTTTTCCTCCCTTTCTGGTTCTTTTGAGTTTTAAATGCAGGGTGTGTATTTTGAACAGTGTTCTTCCCAAGCAGCCAGTCTGTCCAGGGAGAGGCACGGGATGGCCAGCTGGGCTGGAGGGACCTGCTCCAGTGGGAGATGATGCTCAGTCTGGCTCAGTGGCTTCTGAACCAAAGTGTCTCAAAGTTAGTGGGAAGAACTGCAAAGTGTTTTCTCTTTTTTTCCACATGAAAAATGTATTTGTGACTTGCTCTGATACTTCCATCTGCCCTGAAGCACTTTCCCTGCATGCACCCACCTCATTGTTCATTTTTTAGCACAGGAGGGTGGATCTCACCTGCCTTCCCATGCTCCAAAAGTGCTACCTGTGTAAGTTGAGCAGCATCCCTGGTGCTGGGGAGCTGTGGCAGGGACACAGCCTTGCTCCTCAAGTCTTCCCCTGGAGTGCAGCACAGGATGCATGGCAGACACCCCCCTTTGCCTGCCACGTCGTGGTGTCAGGGCAGGGACATCTGTGAAGCTCAAGCTGCTGGAAAAGAGCGAGAGCAGAGTGAGAAGGACAGATCTGCAGAAGGCCTGTTTCGCTCATATCATAGAATCATAGAATCATAGGGGTTGGAAGGGACCTCGAAAGATCATCCAGTCCAACCCCCCTGCCAGAGCAGGACCACCTAGAGTACATCACACAGGAAGGCGTCCAGGTGGGTTTTGAATGACTCCAGTGAAGGAGACTCCACAACCTCTCTGGGCAGCCTGTTCCAGTGCTCTGGCACCCTCACAGGGAAAAAATTTTTCCTGATACCCACCTTGAACCTCCTGTGCTCCAATTTGCACCCATTACCCCTCGTCCTATCACAGGTCATCACTGAAAAAAGCTTAATCCCATCTTCCTGACACTCACCCTTTACATATTTGTAAGCGTTGATGAGATCACCCCTCAGTCTCCTTTTCTCCAGGCTAAAGAGACCCAGCTCCCTCAGCCTTTCCTCATAAGGGAGATGCTCCACTCCCCTAATCATCTTTGTAGCCCTACGCTGGACTCTCTCCAGCAGCTCCCTGTCCTTCCTGAACTGAGGGGCCCAGAACTGGACACAATATTCCAGATGCAGCCTCACCAATGCAGAATAGAGGGGGAGGAGAACCTCTCTTGACCGACTAACCACCCCCTTTCTAATGCACCCCAGGATGCCATTATACATATACATATCCCGAGCAATCCAGACATGCATTTGGTCTGCTTGGAGGCAGCTCTTCTCCTTTTCTTTCCCCTGTCTCTCTTTGTAAATGCAGTGTTTTGTCCCTGGTTCTCAGCAGTGGCTTTGTGCTGCAGGGTACCGGGAAGGATTCCTGTGGAAGAGAGGACGTGACAACGGGCAGTTCCTAAGCCGGAAATTTGTGTTATCGGAGAGGGAAGGTGCTCTGAAGTATTTCAACAAAAACGACGTGAGTACCAGGGGCGGCTGTGTGTGGGCAGGGCATCACCACTGTAAAAGCATCTTCAAACCCAGGATTCCTAAGCCAATGTTTTAGTTATAGTTTTACATTTTTTTCATAAGCGTTGAGTCCTTCACTGCTCCAGGATGAGGGTGCCAGGTGCAGCTTACCAGTGTTTTCAGTAGGGTTTGCTCTTGTTCCACCACCACTGTCGTGGTGAGATGCCCTAACTGGCCATTTTACACATTCCTGC